TAAGCTTATGTCTATAATCCTAGCTCGTCCTAGCTTCTTGGGAGACAGAGATCTAGAAGACAGACATTCAAAGTCAGCCTAGGGAGAAAAGTTCTTGAGATTCTATCCCCAAAATAATCAGCAAAAAGCAAGGCCTGAAAGTTCAAATCCAGATACTAGTAAGAAGGAAAACAAAACCCTAAGGTTTTATCTTACACATATCACATTTAGGACTTCAAATCCAACAACTATGAGGGAGGAAAAAAGGAAGCTCTCCAGTTGCTTATCTTCCTGACTGAAGAAGTTGTAGGAGCTGATGTGTGCTAGCTATCACTGGAACAGAAGGCTGAGTTGTGTGAGAATGTCATCTGAAGACAAATGACTACAGAATACACTAGGAGATGTGCTCCACAGGACAATGATATAAGACAATGACTAGTTTGAAAGACTAGGGAAACCTAAAGACTTACAAATCTGGCCCCTTGAAGGACCTGCAAAGGTGGTAGCTATTGCTAGAATCCTGAGACCCAAGCCAAAGAAAAGGAGAGGCTCTTTTTTTTTTTTTTGGTAGGTCGTGGGGCTTGAACTCTGGGCCTGGGCATTGTCCCTCAGCTCTTCAACTCAAGGCGAGCGCTCTACCACTTGAGCTACAGCGCCACTTCCAGGTTTTTTTTTTTGAGAGGCTCTTTCTTGAAGAGCAAGGATGGCTCCAAGAATTATCATGAAAAACATTGGCGAGAACCAAAGTAGTCAAGGGGGATTTTTTAATCCACTTGAAATCTGTTTGAACTGAGTTTAATTCAGCTTTCAGTAAATTCTCAATGTTATTTTAAGATGAAGATTAACAAGGTTAAGACAGACCCCCCACACACACAAAAAATCAGCTGAGTATTAACAAGTTCTAGATATGTCAAAAATAAAAGTACTGGTTATAGCTTTACACTCTGCCAATCATTAATTAAAGTTGTTTTGACTGAAACTGTTTTAAGAACCATTAACTGAAAGATGTGCTTTTGATTGAAATTCTTTACCTCTTCTCTCTTGCTAAAGTGGGCCACCCCAAGACTCATTGAGGTTATCTATCAGGAGCTCTAACTTACTGTTACATTCTGTGTACGTAAATTACTCTGCAAATACCTCATCTTTTTTCTTCAAATAAAACACAAATGTTTGGTACACCGGTGTGTTTGGTGTAGATATTGGTTGTGACAGTGTTTGGAAAATGCTGAAAATACTCAAGAGAAAAAACACCTCCATAAAGAGATAAAAGACAGAAAAGAGATAAAAGGAGGAAAATGAAGTATACTTTATGAACAAGTCTGCCTCATTCTTTTCCCATGTCTCTTTGTTCCTTCTATGGAAACCTAAAATGCAGACTTTTCCTCAAATGGAAAGATTGAAAAACTTTGGTTTGTCCTCAGTAATATTTCAAATTTGACAAAGTCAACTATATGCAAAACTAAGTTCTGACACAGAATATACCCTAATTAAGATGTTTCCTTAAGGAAGGATTCAGTGGCTCACACCTCTAATCCTAGCTACTTGGGAGGCTAGAATGGCAGCTGGGAGTTCTGCATGAAGAAATGTTGGCAAAACTACTCTCCTCAACCCATAGCTGAATCCAGTGTGTCTACTTATCCCAAGTTAAATGGGAAGCTAAATTTAGTGGCACACACCTGTGATCCCAGCAAGGACGGGAGACCTAAAAGGCAGATTGCCATGGCTTATGGCCAGGAGGGGACCTATGGAGACCTAGTTTCAATCTCTGGTACCACCAGTAAGAAAACTTTTTTTATAAAAAGCTTCCAAATACATTTTAAAAGACCACTTTAGAGGAAAAAAATTGGGACAGAACAAGGGCAGGGGGTAACATTATCCATTATACTCTTGCCAGGTGCTGCTGGCTCACACCTACATTCCTAGCTACTCAGGAGGCTGAGATCTGAGCATCGTAGGTTTGAAGCCAGTCCAGGCTTTACATGCCAGTCTGTGAGATTCTTACCTCCAATTAACCACTAAAACAAAAACAAAAACAAAACCAGAAGAGGTGCTTTGGCTGGGTGATAGAGCTAACCTTGAGGAACCAAGGAGCTCAGGGACTGTGACCAGGCCCCAAGGTCAAGCCCCAGGACTGACCAAAAAAGAAATGTACTCTTAACCTGACTTCTGTAACTGTAAGTCCTCTGCACACCACCTTTGTAATAACAAGAAAAACTAAAAAATAGAAGACCTCCCTAACAGTTTTTACTTCAAATTTACTAACTATGACAAATCACTTCATAAGGATACCAGGTAAAGATAATTGTGAACATACATTACTAGTTAGGAAGGCCTTCTTCCTAAACCTCTTTTAAATGCTTACCTTTAAACACTCAGATCAGACTAGCTTTTTCAACACTGATATTCTTGCAAATTCATAAAATTCAGTATACTACTTGTTGTTTCAAGAGGTCTTCTTACCTAATTAAAATAACCTTACCCGCATGAACTAGAGGTATGAACCTGAATAGTAAGTTGTCTCTCATGTATAGCTACTTTATAACTATTTTTCCACCCCATAAGTTTTATATTTAACATTTTTGTTTTGTTTTATTCAGTGACAGGGCATGAACCCAGTGACTCATGCGTGCTAGGCAAGCACCCTATCACTGAGCAACCTCCTCAACCCTATATCGGCTTTTTAAAACCCTCATAATTGGGCTGGGGATGCAGCTCAGTAGTACAGCACTTGCCCAGCATGCACAACACATTGGTTCCATGCCCAGCATTGACACGTTTAAAAAAAAAAATCACTATTTAAAACTGAGCAGAGTATGCTCACCAGTAATCCTAGCACTTCTGTGATGCAGCATGGGGTACCATTTCCAATTCCCGGCCAGCATGGTCTTCTGAGATGAGACTGTTTCCAAAAGCAGGGAGAACTGGGCTGCAGGCCTAGCTCAAGTGGTAAAGCATTTGTCTAGCGAGTACAAGGCCCTGAATTCAACAACCAGCCCCCACCTCACAATTTATGCTTAATTTAAACTGTTAAGTCTCTTCTACAACTGTATCATCACTGGAACTCCCAAAGTTCAAATGTAGCTATTATTGTCACTGGTTGAGCAGATTCAATTTGAGCAAATGTAACAGGAGTCAAGAGAAGAGTTTTTTCTTGAGGAGGAGGACAGCTTGCCCTTCTTACTATGCACACTCTTGCATTAAGATTTTACAGCAGAGACTGGGAAGGTGGCTCAGTGGTAGAGCACTTGCCTTGCATGCCTGAGGCCCTGGGTTCGATTCCTCAGTACCACATAAGCAAAAAGAAAAAAAGCCGGAAGTGGTGCTGTGGCTCAAGTGGTAGAGCGCTAGCTGAAGAGCTGAGAGACAGCGCCCAGGCCCAGAGTTCAGGCCCAAGACTGGACCCAAAAAAAAAAAAAAAAGATTTTACAGCAGGCCAATGTGTGCCTCAGCAATAGTCTGTCTAGCAGGACCCAGTGTCACTCACACACAAGGCTTTACAGGGGTTGGAACTGTGGTAGATTGCTAGCCAATTATCAAGTGTCAAGTACCAAGTTTGAGTCCCAGTCTCAGAAAATTTTAAATAAAAGATTTTACAGCAAGCAAGGCTTGTTTCTTAAAGCTGTCTTTGACAGAATACTAGCATGGAATGAATCATAAATGCCATTTAATGAAAAGTCAAGAGATAAGGAAACCCACTATATCACTGACATTAACCTGACCAACTATATATACCTCTTGTAACTGACTTTCCAACCCAAAGAAGAAATATGTGAAACCCTAGTTCAGTAGGAACAGGTCAAGCTCATTTGTGCCCAAGTTTAAAAAGTTCTGAAGTGGTAGCGCTCGCCTTGAGTTGAGGGACAGCGCCCAAGCCCAAAGTTCAAGCCCTACAGCTGACCAAAAAAAAAAAAAAAAAGTTCTGAGCAGCTTTACTATTCTAGAATTTGGAAACAGTGTAGAACGCATAGCAGTGAATCCATACAAGAGGGGATTCTTGCAGTGTTTTTTCTTTAAAAAAAAAAAAAAACTTGTTATCAGGAAAAACTACTTCCCAACTCCATACTCTAGTTACAAAAAGGAATAAAAAAAGTTTTCAGATTATAGGCATTAAAAGTTGGATCATACATATTGCACTATCTTTATTAATTACCAGGCTAATTTCCAGATGGCCTAGGAAGACTTTTAACAGGACTCACTGGCCTGCCTCACTAGCAGTTGCTTCTACCTATTCCATCATCGGTTAGATTTAATCAATGTTTTTCATCTTGCTTCACTGTTTTACCTTTTTCATTTTGCTGCTATTGTTTTAGGTTTTCCTGACATATCATCATAGAGACATTAACAGTCTGTTCTATAAGTCTGTAGTAAAAAGCAGAGAGAAACAGATGTATGAATGAGGGCATTCCCCAGGCTTCTCCAGTAACAATGAAGCCTCTGAGCCAATAATGCCCTCTGATGGGTCTGGATCTGGAGAGGTGCAGTTGCACCTCTACACAATCCTATCGAAGTAAGGACTCAAAGGATAGCACGCAGGAGGACAATCAATGACATTTCCCTCTCGTTTGGGTTATCTAGCCCTCCACAGCACACTGGGGAAGAGGTGTTAAAGGCAGTTCCTGTGAGGACTAACTCAACAATTACCTTCTGTGCTTGCTTGTCATAGACCAGCTCTCGAAGAAACTAAAAATGTAATTCTTAAGACCCAAGTACTTCCTCTTTGATTCAGAAAAGAATATGTACAACACACAGTAAGTTGAATTTTAGTTAATGTTGCAGAAAAAATACTACTGTAACATAAACGAGGCCAAATTAACCTCCTAAAAACTTTTTTTTAAGACTGGCTGACAGTCAAAAATTGTCCCTAAATCCTTAGCCTACAGTCTACTTAACATTTCTAGAGCAAGTTGTTTACTTAATATAGACAGAAACAGCCGATATTTCTAGACCTAACCCTAACATAAAAAAGGTCCACAGGCACATCTTAACCATTTTTCCAAAGAAATATGTTTAAACGGCTTTACCATGCAGGGCTATGGCTTCCCGGAAGGGTTGCAAATCAGTCTCTACAGATGAGCTAGTTTCCGTTGAAGTAGCTCGGTTAGGGGACACTACAGTCAGTCTTGGGGGAGCTCTAGAGTTTCGTGGTGGAGGAACCTTTCCACACAGGAAGCTGATCAAATCTTCTCTACGAATAGTTCTTCTGCGTTTTTTAACCCAAGCCAACACATCCTTATTGCGTCGCTGATAGCCAATCTGAATTCCAATATCAAAACTTCGCTGATGGGTATCCACGCTTTCTATTAGGAAAAAAGAAAAGATACATGGATGATCATTACAGCCACATTACATTTCCTCCTAAAGAAAACTGTTTACGAGTTAATAAAAATGAATTACCCCACCTGTAAGTGATCTGGTAATTTGAAATGTATGTCCTTGGGAATGTCAGTTAATCTTTGCATGAGTGCTTTAGTATGTGTGTGTATTGATAGTGGGAGCTTTAACTCTGGCTTTTTCATCCAAAACTGATGCTCTACCACTTAAGCCATACCTCCACTTCCGGCATTTTGCTAGTTAATTAGGAAATAAGCTCATAAACTTTGCTGCCCAGGCCAGCCTTGAACTTCAATCCTGAAAGCTCAGCCTCCTGAAGTAGCTAGGATTATGGATAGGCATGAGCCATTGGCACCAGGCTCACATATTTAATCTTAATGGTCTAAATTTGGAGTTCACTAATTACAAGTCCTAAAGCTTATCTTGTTCTTTAAAAACAAAACAAGGGCTAGGAATGTGGCTTAGTGGGGTAAGACTGCTTGCCTGGCATGCATGAAGCTCTCAGTTCAATTCCACATAAGCAGAAAATGCCAGAAGTGACACTGTGGCTCAAGTGGTACAGTGCTAGCCTGAGCAAAAAGCAGCTCAGGGACCATGCCCAGGCCCTAAGTTCAAGTTCCAGGACTGGCAAAAAAAAAAAGAGCAGTAACTTAGAAATACAGGGACTTTTGTTTAAGCCAAGTTACCTAAAATAACAACAGTATTATCAGTAAAGTTATCAAGTGCTTATTAAAACTTCATGAGAAGAGAGAGGAAGTAACATGGTGTACCTTGAGACAGGTTTTTCTGTTCCCTTTGCTACAAATGAGGAAAGCAAGGTAATTGAGGGGGTTCCTTAACCATTGGACACACTTTACTTCAGAAGAGTGAATTCTCATGAAAGCTAGCTAGCTAGAAGCACCAAGCACACCACTGAGCAGATGTCTAAATATTACACACAACTCAGGCCACCCATGCTCATCTGACTTGTACCAAGTCACTCTGGAGATGCAGTCCTACCAAAAGGCTCAGCACCAGAAACAGAAACACACGCTGCCGTAAACATTTTAGAATAGGAAAAAAAATGTTGACTAACAAAGCTTTCAATCATTCTGCTTCTAATTCCCAATAGTTTTTTGTCTAACTTAAAATCTTCAAAAATGCTGCCTTCCATTCATTTATGACTGGCTTGTGTCTGAAGAAATAAGAAATCAGATACATGATTGGCATAATGACTTGGCTATTGTTTAGTTAGTAAAATGCTAGAGAAGTGATTTTTTTCTCCCTTGAGACAAGGTCTTCCTATGTAACTTTGCCTTAAAACTCCCCTCTGGACTTGAGGTATGTAGCAAACCTGGGAATTCAAAAACATACTTGAAAGTTCAAGTCACTGAAACTTATTTTTAGTCAGTTGCTGTGCTAGCAAAACATCAACAGTGTTTTTAAAGACATCCAGTAAGCTGCTGCCTTATCCTTGAACCTTCTGTCTCTTACTTTTCCTGGCTTTACTTCTATGTATGCCATATGTAAAGGAGACTAAAAGCAAAAATCAACAGTCATACAATAAAGACCTATGTGCCAGAAAGAAAACATGAATCAATCTCACACTGACTGAATCTGTGTTAGTGAAAAAAGACTAGGCTCTAGCTCAGAGGTAGCTCAGCCCACACCAATCCCAAGGTTCAATCCTCAGAGGAAAGTACAGCTGTGCACAAGACCTTCTCAACAAATGGTCAATCTTTTTTGTTTTGTTTTGTTTTTTGCCAGTCATGGGGCCTGAAGTCAGGGCCTGGGTGCTGTCCCTCAGCTCTTCAATTCAAGGCTAGCACTCTACCACTTGTGGGCCACCGCGCCACCTCTGGCTTTTTTCTGCTTATATGGTGCAGAGGAATCGAACCCAGGGCCTCATGCATGCAAGGCAAACACTCTACCACTGAGCCACCTACCCAGCCCCAGGTGGCCAGTCTTCAATTGTTAGATTCAAAAGAAAGTGAGAAATTTTTTTTAACTCACATATCACTTAAATGACTGTAACTTTGAGAAAATTAACCTAATTTTGCAGGTAATAAAAAGCTTTAAGCTAGATGCAGGTGGCTGATGCTATAATTTTACCTCATCAGGAGGCTAAGCTCTAGACAATCACAGTTCAAAGCCAGCCCAGGAAGAAAGTCTACTGAGACTCCATCTCTACAAGAGCCAGCGAAAAGCAGGGCTGGAAGTGTGTCTCAAGAATTAGAGTGAGCAGGACGCCAGTGGCCCATGCAAATAATCCTAGCTGCTCAAGAGGCTGAGATCTTAGGGTCCCTATTGAAAGACAGCCAGGGCAGGAGGCAGGAGAGTCCATGAGAGTCTTATCTCCAATGAACCACCAGAAAACTCGAAGTGGGGCTGTGGCTCAATAAAACGCTAGCCTTGAGCTGGAAGACCTGAGGGACAGCACCCAGGCCCAGAGTTCAAGCCCCATGACCAACCAAAAAAATAAGAGTGACAGCTGAGCAAGTCAGCCAAGCAAGCATCCAACACTGATTTTAAGACCCAGTATAGCCAGAGAAAAAAAGTAGCTCAAGAGTAAGGTCATGTGGTGGCACATGCCTGAATCCTGCTACAGCACTGAAACAGAAAATTTACAAGTCAGCCTAGCTCCAAAAAAAAAAAAAAAAACCAAGAGGGAAGCCATTTCTCATGTCTCACAATCTGAATAATGGCTAAGTCACCACAACAGCCAGTATCTGATTTCTCATTTCCTCATAACAGAACAGGAATGAACTCCATTTTAAAGGGAAACAGCACTCTACCTTCTCTTCAAGCAAAGATGCACAGGAACCCCAACTTTTAAAAGAGTAGATAAACCTAAGATGACCTAGAAAATTCTATGTAGAACTTGAATGATTCTGAAATGAGCTAAAAATCATTTAAGGGAAATGAAGTTATCTCTCAAGCCTACCTTATACATAGAACCAAAGAAAAGAGGATATGGGGCTGGGAAGGTGGCTCAGTGGTAGAGCACTTGCCTTGCATGCATGAGGCCCTGGGTTCGATTCCTCAGCACCACATAAGCAAAAAGAAAAAAGCCGGAAGTGGCGTTGTGACTCAAGTGCTAGCCTTGAGCTTAAGAGCTGAGGGACAGCGCCCAGGCCCAGAATACAGGCCCCACGACCGGATCCAAAAAAAAAAGAGGATAAACCAAAAATGTGCAAACCTAGAAGCAATTAAGTTTCTACAAACTTGTCCTATCTAAATGTCAACTAGATCAAAGTTTCTGCTTCCAAAGCACATGAAGAAATTTTATATTTTTCTGAAAAAAAAACAGAGGATGGTCAGCCCCAAGGAGAAAAGCAGGACAGAGAAAACTAAGTAGGTATGGAAACAAATGTAGCAAGTCAGAGGTAAAAAGACAAAGATGATACAAAACTCCAGAAAGGGAGGACCCCCAAAGCTGCTAAGCACTCTGATGGCAATGGCTATAATCAGACTCATGGCTGTAATCCTACTCCAGAGGATGAGATCTGAGGATCGGGGATCAAGGCAAGGCCCTCAGCCTAGTCTGTGAGATTCTTATCTTCAATTTAAAAATTACTTAAAAAGCTGGAAAAGTTGTGGCTCAAGTGGTAGAGCGCTAACCGTGAGCAAAAGCAGCTCAGGTATAGCACCCAGGCCCAGATTTCAAGCCTCAGGACTGGCCAACAAAAAGAAAAAAAGCCAGACACTGGGGCCTCAAGCCTGTAATCCTAGCTAATTAATGAGAAGGCTGAGATCTGAGAATCAAGCCAGCCTGGGCAGAAAAGTCCTCAGGAGACTCTTATCTCTAACCACTCAAAAATCAGAAGTAGAGCTGTAGCTCAAAGTGGTAGCAAAAGAGTTCATGGACATAGCCCAGACCCTAAATTCAAGCCCCACAACCAATCAACCAAAAAAAAAAAAAAAAAAACTATTAGTACTGAAGAAAGTGACAGCCAAGTTTTGAGTTATTTTGACAGAGGGCCAAGAATTGTCAGTCTGCAATGGGCATAGACTTGAACCTACCTGGAAAACTCAATTTTCACCCATGGTTTAAAAGATTTTTTTAAAAAAAGAAATGTCAACCTCTAGAAAACTCAATTTTCACCCATGGTTTAAAAGACTTTTTAAAAAAGAAATGTCAACCTCTTTTTTTTTTTTAGGGTCCGGTTGTGGGGCTTGAACTCTGGGCCTGGGCTCTGTCCCTCAGCTCTTCAGCTCAAGGCTAGTGCTCTACCACTTGAGCCACAGCGCCACTTCCAGCTTTTTTCTTTTTGCCTATGTGGTGCTGAGGAATCGAACCCAGGGCCTCATGCATGCAAGGCAAGCGCTCTGCCACTGAGCCACCTTCCCAGCCCTTTCAACCTCTTTATGAAATTATGCCACTAACCAGCCATTCTGAGCAAGCCTCAATAAAAGATCCAAGAGTTTGATTTTTTTTAACTTTTTAAAAAGGAATTGTAGAGCTGGGCACTGGTGGCTCATGCCTGTAATCCTAGCTACTAAGTAAGGAGGCTGAGATCTGAGGACCACAGTTCAAAGCCAGCCTGGGCATGAAAGTCCTTGAGACAACTCCAATAAACCACCAGAAAACCAGAAGTGGCCCTGTGGCTCAAGTAGCAGAACACTAGCCTTGAGCTGAAGAGCTGAGGGACAGAGCCCAGGCCCTGAGTTCAAGCCCTAGGACTGGCAAAAAAAAAGGAACTGTATAAGCATTTATAAACTGAAAGGAACAAGAGAAAAGAAGCAGAAACAACTTTAAGGTCTTTGGGTACATGCCTTTTGCACTGAGTTCATTACTTAGTTTAGTATTTTCAGTTACTTCAAGGAAAAGAAAGCCTCAAATTGATGCCAATGCATTCAAAATAAGAGTTCTTTTAGCCCTCCTGCTTTGAGCCAACGGGGAAAGGCTGCATGTTTACTTCTTAGGAAAGGAGATAGAAGTAGGTGCAACCAACAAAGCTTATTCTAGCACACAAAAAACTAGAGTTATTTCCCTTCCTATTAAACACTGCCTACTGTAGGAAACATTGGAGAAAGTTGATCGCTAATACAGCACTATCAACATTTACTCCCAACATGAAAGGCACAAAACTAAGAGCTTGTACTGTAATCTGTGGGCACTTAGGCCCATTCACAGTTAAGAAAACCAGAGCGCACAATGGGAGAAATACCTGGCTCCAACATGTCTTCAGAACCACACAGCAAACAAGTACTGGAGCCAAGATCTGAGTTCAATCTGACAGCAGACTTCCAAGACTCAACCATAATGAAGCTTCAGTACTGCTAGGACAGACACCTGGGGCAGATCTGCTCAAGGACACTCAGAATTATCTTTTAATAAAAGTAGCATCAAAAGATGTGTGTATGTGTGTGACAATCAATGCTTCAAATGCAAATAAAAATGTAAAGGCAGGGCTGTAGGCATAGCTTAAGTGGTAGAGCATCTGCCTAGCATGTGTAAAACCTGAATTCAAATTCCAGTTTAAGAAGAACTTAAAAAAAAAATAAGTAAATGAGCAAGGAGCCCAAAGCAGTAGAAGGAATTCCAGATTAGACAGAATTCCTTCCTATGGAGAAATCAGGAGACTGTGTCTGAAATAAACCGCCCCACCCCCACCCTGGCCAGAGGAGTTGGATTTAAACTGCACCATGCTAGAAGAGCAGCTCAGGGAAAGAGGGCTTACCAACAGTACTCAGGCCCCCAACAAAGCAAACTCAGACTTGACCCCATTTCCCAGGTAAGCATCAATCCTGTCAAAGTTAAAATGACCTCTAACTTTTCACTCCCTTTAGTTGCAGCTATTAAAAACAACCTTCTGCCAGGGTCCCCCAATACTGAAGACTTCATTTTTTTGGAACTATCAAATCAAGAACCAGCAATCAGGGGCTGGGAAGGTGGCTTGCCTTGCATGCATGAGGCCCTGGGGTTCGACTCCTCAGCACCACATAAGCAGAAAAAGCTGGAAATGGTGCTGTGGCTCAAGTGGTAGAGCACTAGCCTTAAGCTGAGGGACAGCGCCCAGACCCAGAGTTCAGGCCTCACAACCAACCAAGAGAAAGAAAGAGAAAGAGAGAAAAAGAAAGAGAGAGAGAAAGAGAAGGAGAGAAAGAGAGGGGAGGGAGGGAGGGAAGGTGGGAGGGAGAACCAGCAATCAGGACCTTCTTCCCCTTTTCAAAATAAGGAAGCCAAAGTTTGATCACTATGTGGAGTGGAGTAAAGGCCCATGTATTCCATTTACTCAACTACATCTGTCCTCACTGAGGTTACAAGACCATCTTACATTCTCAAGCTAGTATTCCAACCAAACCAATTGAACCTTCAATTCTTCAGAAGCCTACTGAAATTAAAAGAGCCCCAACCCTCTTAACTTCTACCTCAATTCTGACCTTCCTTTGTGCAAATCATTTTAGAATTTATCAAGAAGATGGTATAAGTTTTTCCCCAGTTACAAAAGGAGCCATTTTTAGCTTGCCAGCTAAGTCCAAATTACATAAAATTCAGCAAGTTATCTTAAAGGATACCCCCAAGCCGGGCGCCGGTGGCTCACGCCTGTAATCCTAGCTACTCAGGAGGCTAAGATCTGAGGATAGCAGTTCAAAGCCACCCTGGGCAGGAAAGTTCGTGAGACTCTTATCTCCAAGAAACTGCTAGAAAACCGCAAGTGGTGCTGTGGCTCAAGCAGTAGAGTGTTCGCCTTGTGCTAAAGAGCACAAGGACAGCGCCCAAGCCCAGAGTTCAAGCCCCACGACCGACAAAAAAAAGGATCCCCCAAATCTTAATCTTCTCCCTTGTATTTAATGAAAACTGAATAATCTGATTTAAATTTATCACTATTAAATGCAGTCTGTCCTGTGACAACATTTTACTAATGTTATTAGTTCTATTTAAGGTAACCAAGTATTCCTACAGCCCATTCTCTAGAAAGTCCTAAAAATAATGAAAGGAGAAAGGATAAGAGTAATCCACTCTCTAAGTCAGGCACTAGTGACTCATGCCTGAAATCCTAGCTACTCTGGAGGCTGAGATCTGAGGATGTCTGTTGGAAGCCAGGAAAAGTGGTGCAGAAGTCCATGAGACTCCAAGTCACCACCCAAAAAAAAAACCTGAGCAGCACCCGAAAGTTCAAGATTCAGGACCAGTGATGCACACATGGGTGCACACACACACTAATCCACTCTTTGCAAGTCTCCAAGAGTAAGATGTCTTAAACAACCAAAATTTATAAACACAAAGAGTTCAGCATTCATTTCTGAGTACACCTTCTTCTATAATCAGCATTAAAGAAACTTGCTAGCTTTAGTCCCAAAAGGTTATAATCCATCTGTAACAATGGCACCAAAACCAGAGGACATTCATGTTTATAGGTAGCTTGGTATAAGAGCCCAGCACAAAGAAATACTAGAAATGGATTGCCTTTCCCTTCACACAAATGCAAAACGATAAGCCATAGTACCACCAAACAACACAATTCTATACTCTGTAATTTAAAAACACAGGCCCCTTACTGCCTGCAATATAAAATAAGTGGGTCCACCTCAAAATCATTATGCTAAGTCAAGGCCACCAACAGAAGACTACAGACCATTTGGTCCTAATGGAAAACTATATACAGAAAATACACAGCAACCAGAAAAGCGACTGCCATTGCCAAGGTAGGGAATGAGCATCTTTTGTTTAGTAATAGTACATACTTACAAAACAATTGTTTACATCTTTTTAAAAAAAGGAATTTTACTGTATATATGTTGTACTCTAAGAAACTTTCAAACTGAATTTTGTACATGTTCAAAATTCCCTTTCAGATGAAATCAAAGCCATTCCAAAGGGTATGCTAAGACTCTTAAGTACTGATGGATGTTAGTAAGCAATCTATTCATTAGTCAAAATACAGGGGATGCTGCTTAGCAGTAGAGTGCATGTCTAGCAGGTATGATACCCTGATTTCCATCCCCAAGACCTCCTTCCCCCACAAAAAATAAAAGTAAGCAATTCAGCTACACAAATCAAAAGCTGGCCGGTGAAACACCACTTTTCAACAGAGCTGGACTATTCCTGACTTCCAATGTTATTCACAAGATTCTGCTAAAGTTCTCAAATACTGTCCTCAAAAACTCAAGAGTTCTCACAATAGGAGACATTCATCCTACAAAAAGTGCCATCATTTGCAAATTCTTAGGCAAAAATAATCTGAGAACCAAGGATATGTTCTATATCCTATTTCAACCTACTTTGCTATTTTAGAATAAAAACAAAATCCCATTACTTTCCTCAGCTCTTAATGGCTGAAAGGAGATTAAGGGTGTGGCTCAAATGGTTAGAAGGTTTGCTTAGCCCCCGTGCCCCAACAACAGAAGTCTGAATGTATTTGACTTAATTACAATTTTATTAACAGTCAAAACTTTAATCTTTTTCCTTAGAAACCTTGCCCAAAAAAAAAAAAAAGGAAGGGAGGGGAGCTCCAAATCTTACCCCATCAGCAAGGCACAAAATCAAATTCATTGTTAACAGAGTACAATGGCCAAGGCCAAGACTTCATGCCATCACAAAGGGGAAAGAAAATGAAGTCCAGCAAAGGCACCACTATAAAAACATAAGCCTAGCACTTCAAAACTCTTTGCAGATTTCCTGCTGGTAATGTACAAGCAGGTATGAGGTAGTTGGGGAAAAAAACAGCATATGAAACTGCTAAGGAAGAGCAGCAGTTCTAATAAAAGAATAATTCCAATTAGTGAGTGTTCACCTCAATGCTACCATACTACCATGCTCTAAGTGGCCAGAATAAGGTCTCGGTCCAGGCCTGCTTGGGACTGGAACCCTTCTTTCTTGCCTGAGGCCTGTTCCAAGTCACCCACGGGTCAGCCTGGGGATACAGCTTGCTTAAGCCTAACTGAGCCCTGAGGGCCTTAGGGGGCTGTCTTAGGCCCTGGGGTACAATCAGTGGCCTCTACCAACTGAATGCTAACAGCAGACCCTTGAACGATGACAACCCAATGTCCCCAGTTACAACCCCGGATCTTAGGGAGGTGGCAGAGGGGTCAAAATCGTTGTCCAGGACTGATCTAGCTGGACCACCACCAAGATTCTCACGTTGCAAAGAAAGTATTCAAGGTTAACAAGAGAAACAGAAAACACCCGGCGACGGCCATTTGTTTCCCCCCCCCCTTCCCCAATTTCCCCTTGGGTGACAATGCAGACCAAGGTTATCTTTACCTTTGTAGAGGTTGGTGACGGCCGTGGCTGCGTTTTGGAAGGGGACCCAGAGAGAAAGTCCTGGCTGTTGACATACTCGATCTGGAAGGAAAAAAGAGAAGAAAGAGAAGAGGGGGAAGGGGATAAAAACACAGAAATGAGAGGGGAGGGGGGGACAGAGAAGAGACAGAGAAAGACACACACACACACATACACACACACACAAACACAAAACAAAAACACACACACGAGGACGGAGAGGAGAGAAAGAGAAAACAGAATGTTATTTGGGCGTCAATCACTCCAGAACGGCCATATTAGGTTTCGCCATTTTGTTCACGGGTTTCAGGATCCCAGAGGCAGCGGGAGATCGGGAACAAGGGGAAGATGGGGGCCACACTTGGGAGGGGGAGAACCAGGCCGCGGGGGTGGGTAAGGAGGGGGGGGAGCCAGGCCCCGGGGGGGGGACCGGAAAGCCACAGGGAGGCGCCCCTGTCCCGGAGTCCCCACCCCGAGGCCGGCCCCGGGGCACAATAGGGCCGCCTCCTCCTCCTTCGCCATTTTGTGGCCGGGGTTTCTTCCCAGGGCCTCCCGGTCGGACCGACACCGGGGTGGGGGGTCTGAAATCGTCGGGGATCCACCCCGGGGTGCGGAGGGAGGGGGGGGGCGCCGGGGCAGGGCCGGGCGGCGCCAAGATGGCGGCGAGGCCTCACCTTTGTAGAGCTGGGCCACGGCGGTGGCCGAGTTCTGGAAGAGGTGCCACAGCTTCTGCTGCTTGTGCTCGGGCTGCGCGGCGGCCGCCGCCTCCTCCTGCAGCTCGGGGGGCAGCTGCTCGTCCTGCTCCGCCTCGGCCAGGCACTGCCGCTCCCACTTGGAGAACCAGTGCTCGGGCCCGTGCTCCTGGATCTCGGCCTCGCCCTCCTCCTTCCGCTCCTCCATCCCCCGCGGCCTCCCGCGGCCTCGCCGCCGCCGCGTCCTCCTCAGGCGGGGGCCCCGCGGGAGCGTCGTCGTCGAGCGGCCCGGA